GTAGCTAGATCATCATCTTCTATGAACTGATAAAGAAAAACACAGATTCAGGAGACTCAGTGTCCCTCTGACCTGGTGGGACGCCCATCCTGCACTCGTGCCATAAGCCCATAGATTTTGGGCACATCTTAGGGAAGGAAAAGAAAGGCACTGGGGAGCAGCATGTGCTCTACTGCCTTAAGGCATTCTCTGCTCTAACTAGTTGGGTTATAGCCTTTATCTGAGATGAGCTAATGCTTGCTACCATGAAGATTAAAATCTGGCATTTATCCTGACCCACAACTTACAGGGGTCATGGGCTCCACTGCAAGCAAGCCTTACCACCTTCAGGGGATCCTGACGCTCATCAAATGACCGTCAAGTATCTTTAAAGGACTCTACAAATAGCTCTCAGAGTTTGTTGATTCCTACCTCAAGCCTAGCCTACACAGATTGCTACACATCCTAATTGTCAACCCCAGTGAGAGTGTTCAAAATAAAGTATCTCACTAAATTCCCAACAATCTCTTGATATCTGGAAGGCCTGCCAGTTTCCTTCCCAAATTCACGTGTGTAGCATTAGTGTATTTCCATCTCCAATCCCCTTCAAAATATATCTAAAGATAACTATAAAAGATTCAGCTCTACCCAGAAAGAATGTATTCTGATTCATCAGCAATGGGTTGAGATGGGGTACTTTCTCCATGAGAATCTTGCCTATCTTAAGGGATCAACATGACACTGGAGTCAATCAGGGGGGAAGAAGATGATATAACCTACTTTTTGTGGGGGAGAGAGAGGTGGTTAAAATTCATCAAGTGCTTAGAACTTGCCGATAAAAATTTGGGGCATTCCACATGCTATCCCAGACAGAAACTGTCCTAGGGATAAATGTGTAAGCCATCTATGTTTCCTAAATTTGGTGTGTCCAGACTGGTTAAAGCTAAGGGTAAAATTAAACCTCATAGAAAGTGCCATAAACTGCAAAATGGAGCCTGCACTAGGCACATCTCTGCATTTTGGAAGGCTCTGCATTTGTGGGAAGCATTCCTCGGAACCCACCAGAAGTATCAGAGCCTTTAGGAGTGGTTAAAAGTTGTAAATATGCAAGTTTTTCATATTGAAAGTTTTGTACCCAAACCATCTTGTGTGTCCCATGTCTGGGTGAAGTTGTCAGCTAAAGATAAAAGTTTTTTTTTAAGGATATAAATATCCATAGATTCTTAATGCTTTGAAAAACCACAGTATTTTGAAAAAATACTGTGTATTAATAATGTATTTTCCAGATTTCCCTTCTGGTAAAGGTTTGGTTCAGGTTGTTCACATCAGTCCTACAGCTGAATACAACTAAAAAGGCTGGATAAAATATATTTAAATAATCTTTTCAAAGGCATCAAAGAGATTATAAAATAGCAAGGAATCATCAGGCCGAAAGTAAAGAGAAGTCAAGGATCTAGAGAAGGGAACAAGCCTGAAGCCACTTTTGTCCTGATAGCACTAGCTAATCCCAGAAAACTAGAACCTCCCGTTTTATGGCCTTTCAGGGTATAGAAGAGGACTAACTCTAGATCCATACAAGTTGGGGGACCTGACAGCAGGCCTTCCCCTACAACAACCTGGGTTCCAGGATCTCAGAATGAAGGGAGCAAGAATTGGAATAATCTAAAGAGAATTAAAACATGGTAAAAATCCCTTGCATTGTCCAGGATATATCAAACTCTGAACAGACGATCCCAGACTGATGGCGCCCCCAGGTGCCTGGCAGAAGCAAATGCAAATACTCTTTGGGGTAAAGTACCTTCTTTATAGGCCTCACAGTTAGTTATTCCTGCAAAATAACATGTCAAGTGCAATGACTAGCACAGAGTCAAAGATACCCAGCACATAAGAAAATTAGAATCAGGGAATAAAACCACCATAAAGAGATCATCAAAAACTGTCAGTGTAGGCCCCAGCATCTCTGTTTTAATGGGCCATCCAAGTCATTCTGATACATGCTACAGCTTGAGAATTACTGCTTTATACTTTAATTCACATAAATGTGCATCCTACACACAAAAATGTGTACATGTGTTAGGTCGAGGGGAGGGCCCAAGAATTTGCATTTCTAACAAGTTCCCAGATGATGCTCATGCCAGACCATGCTTTGAGGAACATGGGTATAAAAAAAGGAATTACTCTGCAGGTCACAATAGTGGTTACCTGTGGGGATAAGGGCCGTAACTTGGAACCAACATGTGGAAGGCTGGCAGTCTTTTCTTTCTTGACCTCAGTGGTGGTTACACAGTGCCATCATTAAATTATATGCTTATATTTTAATGCATAATGAGATCAGTGGTTGTCCCTTTTCCATTCGGTCATATAAGTCAAATATTACTGCACTGGTCCTGCCCACCATCATCCACCACACTCATTTATAACCAACTACCAAAGTAGAAAGTGTAAAAGGTTGCGAAGTTCCAAGACATAATTTCCTTTGCATTAGTTCCTAATGTAATTAGCTCACAAAATAGCTTTAAGACTCAAGACAAGAAAAGTTTAGTCTAAGTTTCTAAAAACCCTGTTAAAAAGTTGCTTAAAACCCAGAGATAGGATACTGTTTATAGTCTTAACTCTTTGTCCCCAGGGTAAAAATACCTGCAAAAATAAGCAACAGCTATCTTAAAATTTTACCAAGAAAACATTCCCAATGTAAAAAGGTACTTTAATTTTTTATCCCAAGTTAAAAGAAAGGAGGGGAAATCCTAACTTTCACCAGTCTGAACTTTCTACTCCAAAGAGACAGAGCTGCTTGCTTCTCTCCCAACTGCAAAATGAAAATAAAATACCTAGTACTGGCTGCAGTAACAGTAAAATCCTACACTCTTCATTAATCCTTACCTATGGGGAAAAGCAGTATTCATCAACTGGCCATAAATCTGTGAACACTTTAAGAGAAAATTTAGAAAGTCTCTTTGTGGGAAGGGGAACAACAAAAAAAGGCTGAAAAGCACCATATTAAATTGATCAGTGCAGATTGTACTTTTAAGTTCCCACTCATAAACCCTCAAACAGCGTTAGTGAAATCTGGGATGGGGACACAAGTTTCTTATATTTATACAAAACACTTTTTCTGGAGGCCACATTCTTCCGTAAACATCAACAAAGAGTTAATATTTGCCATGTCTGCTTCTAAACCAACACATCCTATGACACAAACGCTGGCTATTACTCTGTGAGGAAACCACTGTAACAGTTACCACTGGTTCTGACTCTGGCAGCTAGTCAGTAGCCGCCTATGCCTTGTGATGTGATGTCCCAGACAGATATCTGAACAACTGAATGGTTTCCGCAGCCAGGTCTGGGCGTAATAATTTATCTCTGGCAAAAACATATGCGGTTGGGTTTTGTTATGCCCATAAGCACCATGAGTGTGGTCACAAACGCCTTCAACACCCAGACATACCTTCCCATATATGTGGTAGGAACTGACTAGAGTGCTTTGCTTAGCTCCCACTATACCTTTGACCATTGCAGACCTGAAGTCTTATGCCCCTCACAGCTTCTTCTTTCTTTACAACATCGCAATATGACTGTGTAAGATGCCTAATCATTATCGTATCAACTATAGGCAATGTAGCAAGACAGTGTTGGTCGCTTAGCAAGGATCATTCCTGGATCCTGAAGGTTAGATCCAGACGACCTGGCTTGTGAAAGGCAGTTTTTGTCTGGAATTTCAGACTAATGTAGTTGGGGATATAAGAGCCTTATAAAGCTCCTCCATCCTGGGCAGGCAGAACCTGAGTATCACCAGCCTAAACACCTGTCTTAGGAGGAGTTGGAGAGACCTGAGAAGCCACATTCATCAAACACTCCAATCCAATGTCCTCTGTGTCCATTAGGTACAAGGTTATTCTTCACCAACCTTCAAGCCAAGTCTTTTGTGAGATCATTTCAATTTAGAAAGTAATACTTAAAAAAAAAAAAAAAAAGGCATAGCCATAGTTTCGGAGTAGAGCTGATCCTAGCAGAGGAATGCTCCCTTTCCCTACTCATTGTTGACAATGCCTTAAATACTGAACTGGCCCTTCAAAAGTACATCCTCATTCAATTCTTTTGAGTAGAAAACTCCAGATTATCATAATGTAGCTGAGCTGGTTATATTAAATTCTTTCACTTATCATGAGTATAAGTATTATAGTAATGCAAATATAGCATCCATTTATGATGGGCTACAAGCTATACTAGATTACCAACACTCCGGACATTTTAGACCATGGTCAAAATTAACGTTAAGAAAACATCTACAGAGCTTCTGCATTATTATACCTTTCAGCACAATCTGAGTACTCTCTCTCCTTGCTCACAGTTTGTTGTAGCCTTTGTGAGAATATCAGATTCACATGCAGATGAGCGCCACTTATGAGCTGTATGAAGTCATGCAGCTCATCCAGTAGGTGCAGAGAGGACTTCAGTGATTACTCTCAGGTTAGGTTAAAGATTTCACCCCATCTACAGTTATATACAATACTCTCTTATAACCACTTGACTTGAAAAACCAATCACAAGCCCACAAAGCGTCCCACTCTTCCAAGAAAGCCAGAATCCCTGCCAACAACACACTCAACCCAAGTTGTGGGTACACATATTGATTGTCCTGCTCCCCTATGAGTCCTCTGGATTACAAGGATTGGTCTGGAGGATTGTGGAATCTTCCAGTCATTTGTAAATCTCACTGTGCTTCATGTGAGTTAATAATGTCCATGTTGTCCCCTTTAAACCAAAGTTCTTTTACATACCATTCGTTGGTTTTATTCTCAATTGGTTAATAATAAATGGAACTGATAAAACTTTTCAGCCTCTATTTCTTCTATGTGGCAAGTAGTATCTAAGTAATTTTCCATTTTGAAACTGAAAGTATTCAAGTATTTCATGTAGAGAAGTGGAGGTCTTCCTGCAAGTTGGTTTTGCAGCATTTCTGCCATTACCGGGTTATCTGTATTACATGAAGTTTACATGAAATATCTGACCATACTCATCAGTGTAATTCACACTTTCTGTTTACTTGCAGTGAGTACAAAACATAACTTGATCATTTTTTGAATCTTCTTCCTTAGCATGTCTTTGTCTAGCTTTCTGTACATCTCTATTTGGTATACAACCTAAAATCAGTGTTATTTGAAAGTCTTTTTCTTTTCCCCACAGATACACAGCTCCCACTACTATATACCCTCCTGAAAGTTGAAATCTTTACCTCTTCTTTGTCTTTGATCATTTTCAGTGGTTAAGAGAACTCTGGAAACAGACTACATGGGCTTAAGTCATCATTTGTTCATTGTGATCTTGAACGCATTACCAAACCTCTTTGTTCCTCTTTTCCTAATCTGTAATATGTGGATAATAATACCTAAAGTCATAGGATTGTTATGAAGTTTCTACATGTGATGACGCAATATGTTTATAGATGTAAACCTCTATGACAACGCTTGACACATGATAAACACTGTACATCTCAGCTATTATCATATCTACAGCCATATAAACCCCACAGCTGTTGAGGTTACACATGCTGCTAGTCTTACGATTTCTGTGCTGTGTTTATTATGTCTTATGGTTTCTGTGCTGTTTTTATTATACTAATCAAACTATTGACATATTAAGATATCCTATATACAGCCTACAAGTTTATCTAGCGGCCATAAGTATTTCTCTTGGATATGCAAATGACAGAGCCTTCACCATCACACAAAATACAGAGCATGGCTTTGAGGTTCCCTACCATACTCATTAGTGCTGGCTGTAGGGGTCACACACACTCCTGGGCTCCCATGATATCTGAAATAAAAACCACAAGACGAGATGTACCACCAATGGCAATGTAAATCAGGTATGTTCCCAGACAGTTGATAGCAAGATTATACGCACATGTATACATATACATACACATTTACCCAGAGGTGGTCAACATTCTTGATAAAAGCCTATTCAGCCTTCTTCCTGCTCCTCCACAAAAGGGCATAAAGATTTTTTTTTTTTATAGTGTCACTAAAAAATCTATGGGAGATACTCACCTGCTGGAAGTAAAGTTCAAATCTGGTGCTAGCTGAATGTTGAGTAGAGTTATAAAGAAAAATAGTATGTGTGAATCTACCTCTTCAGCTAGAGTTTATTTAGGTTATCAGATAAATTTGTTGTCAACAGACAAAATAATGACAGAGACTAAACTAATTTTGTTTATTCTCTATTTTAGGGAAGATTTCACAAAAACCCTTCTGCCTTAGTAAGAAACAGATGTTTACCCATATGGCTTTTTACTATCTCAAGAACCATTTTTGTTCAGATTCAACATGCATAAGCATTTCACTAATTCGTCTTCCACCTAGGATGTAGAAATCTAGAAAGAAGGGGGCGCTTGGGTGGCTTAGTCAGTTAAGCATCCAACTCTTGAATTTGGCTCAGGTCATGATCTTAGGGTCATGGGATTGATGGGATCCATGCTGAGTGTGGAGCCTGCTTAAGATTCTCTCGCTCTCTCTCTCTGCCCTTCCCACTGCTCTCATGCATAGGCACGCACATTCTCTCTAAAATAAATCCAGAAAGAACATCATTCTTACCTAAACACCTAGAAAAACTAGAGAAAAGCTTTTCTTGAACCTGTTGGGAAGCTGAAGTTAGGGTGACCAACTGGACTTTTCCTGGTTTTAGTACTGTACGTCCTATTCTTGGAAAACTCTCAGTACCACACAAATTGGGATGATGTGACACCCTAGCAAGTGTTGCAGACCAAGCAAGTAGCCTGAGAGCCAAGAAAAGACTGGCCTCACCAAAGAGAGATAGGATGTGAGCACTGAAGAAGAGATATCAACTACTATACAGGGTGGTAAGAATTCAGCTAAAATTGTTAACACATTGCTAAAGGCCAAGTGAGGACAAGCAATAATGTTTAGAAACCCCTCAGACAAAAAGGAGCTTGTTTGCATTTCCACTTACAGCCTCTTGTCACTGGATGCTGATGAGAAAAACTGGGGACAAGGCAGGAGACCATATACAGCCTCCCTTGGAGGTGGAGGCCTTGCTGGAGCAGAGTAAGCTCCCGCTATGGGAAGGACAAAAGTCCTGCCATACCCTTCCTATGAATGATAGCTGCAAGCCGCTGGGAAAGGGGAAGCAAACTGTTGTCTCCTGGGCTCAGGTAGAGGACCCTTGATATTGGGTAAGGGCAAGAGTAAGAGAAGACAAAGAGCTTCTATACCTGGATAAGGAGGGATAGGAAATGGTCTTGGGCTCAAGATCTCATGCCAATACAATTACAGGAATCAGGAGACTCTTATCTTAAGACTCATCAAAGATGTAGGGGTGCCTGGGTGGCTCGGTTGTGCGTCCGACTTGGGCTCAGGTCATGATCTCGCAGTTTGTGGGTTCAAACCCTGCGTCGGGCTCTGTGCTGACAACTCGGAGCCTGGAGCCTGCTTCAGATTCTGTGTCTCCCTCTCTCTCTGCCCCTCCCCTGCTTGTGCTCTGTCTCTCTCTGTCTCTCAAAAATGAATAAATGTACAAAAAAAAAAAAAGACTCATCAAAGATGCAAAGTAGAATTCTGTCTGCCATGGGGAGACTGAGGAGTTGAGGAAGCCCCACCTGCAAGGCCTAAACATATAAGACTTGCCTAAGAGAGGCTGGACCAGGATGATTGGTCCTCTGGCTCCCACTACCAAGCTATCAAGCAGCAGGTTACAAGAAGGCAGAAAGGCAAAAGCATGGAGGCAGGCCTTTTTTTTTTTTTTTTTTTTTTGCAGGTTAAAAGGAAGGCTAGAAGCTGAGAGTGGAAAAGGAATGTTGAGAAACTCCCTTTAGCCTTCCATCCCACATCTTAAGTATAAGGTAACACTAGAGGAAATTGAAACCAATGGTGCACTGAAGGTACAACAAGAAAACCCAAACCCAGGTCAACCACTGACTGATTCAATACCCCACATGACTGAGCAGAAGAAGAAACATACTTACTTGAGTCATCACTATCTTAATTTCTACTGTTCTATACAAGATGCCTACCATTGGATAGAAAATTATGAGACACATAAGGAAAACAACCCATTGTCAAGAGAGAAGAGTCAACAGAATGAGGCTCAGAGATAACCTAAGTGTTGGAACTATGAGAGGGATTTGACATAACTTTAATATATTAATCATATATATTGAAGAGTCTAGTGGAAAAAGTAGATAACAGGAATGATCATACAGAAAATTTCAGTAGAGATAAAAACTACGTATGTCAAATGGAAATGCTAATAGAAAACACAGTAACAGAGATGAAAAATACCTTCAAAAGCCCATCAGTACACTTGATACAACATGAACTTGGAAAGCATGAACTTGAAGCTGTGTAATAGAAATTACCCAAACTAAAATACAAAGAGAAAAAAGTGTGAAGAAAACACAAAAGTGTTGTAGGGTAATACCAAACAGTCTAATAAAAGTGTATCTGGAATTCCAGGAGAGAGATAGCAGAAGAAACATTTGAAGAAAGAATGGCTGAATCTTCCAAAAATAATAAAATATACCAAACCACAGATACAAAAAGCTCACTGAGTCCCAAGTAGGATAAATACCAAAAAATACACACCCCGATACATTTTTTTCAAACTGCTGAAAAGTCAAGAGAAAATCTTGAAGGTAGCCAGAGAAAAAGACACATTACAGAGAAACAAAGAATTACAGCTGGCTTAGAAACTATGCAACTCAGAATATAGTGGAGTTAATACCTGTAAAACATTAATGAAAAATACTGTTAGTCCAGAATACTGTGTCCAGGGAAAATATCTTTCAGATATGATGGAAAAATAGACTTTAAAAGACAGACAGAACAACAAAACAAACAAAAAAACAACAAGAAAATTTATTATCAATAGACCTGCACTAAAATAAAGGTCAAAACAACCTTCTCCAGGGGCACCTGGATGGCTCAGTCTGTTAAGCCTCCAACTCTTGATTTTGGCTCAGGTCATGATCTCATAGTTCATGGGTTTAAGCCTCTCATCACAGTGGAGAGCCTGCTTGGGATTCTCTCTCCTCTCTCTCTGTCCCTTCCCTACACCCCTCCCCTGCTTCTAAGCTCTCTCAAAATAAACTTAAAAAAAAAAAAAAAGAAAACAAAAAAAAACCTCCAACAGAAAGAATATGATACCAAACAGAACTTGCATCTACACAGATGAAGATCTCCAGAAATAGTTAAAATTAAAGTAAAATATAAAAAATACATTTTATCATATTTTTAATTGTTCCAAAAGATAATTGGCAGCCTAAAGCAGTGGTTCTCAACCTCAGGCAATTTTGCCTCTCAGGAGACATTTGGCAATGCTGAGACTTTTTTTTTTATATAAATTTTTTTTAATGTTTATTTATTTTTGAGACAGAGAGAGACAGAGCATGAACGGGGGAGGGGCAGAGAGAGAGGGAGACACAGAATCGGAAACAGGCTCCAGGCTCTCAGCCATCAGCCCAGAGCCCGATGCGGGGCTCAAACTCACAGACCGCGAGATCATGACCTGAGCCGAAGTCGGCCGCTTAACCGACTGAGCCACCCAGGCGCCCAAGACATTTTTGATTGTTACAATGGGGGTGGGGGTAGGGACGGGGATGTAGTGCTACTACTGGCATCTAGGGGGTATAGAGGCCAGGAATGTGGCTAGACATCCTACATCCTTAAAAGGTGTCCTCAAAATGTCAACAGTACCAGACTGAGAGATTGTTGTAGCCTGACTGATAAAAAGACATAAAGTACCAGTGCGTGAAATGAGAAAGGGGCCATCACTACAGGTCTTGACCATTAAAAGAATACTACAATATCACAAACAACCATATGCCCCCAAACTTGGCTGAAATAGACCAATTCTTTATAAGACACAAATGACTAAGACTCACTTAAGTACATCGTCTGAATAGTCCTATGTCTATGAAAGATATTGAATTTGTAGTTAAAACACTTCCACCAGGGAAGCCTACAGGCCAAGATGCCCTCCCTGCCAAAAGTGAAGATCAGGACAAGACCAAGCTAGCTCTCGGTGTACATCTATTGGACATATGTCTTGTTAGGTGTCAGGAGAAACACTTGCGCTTCAACCTACTGGAAACTGCAGAAAGTCCAGAATTCCAAGTTATTCCCTCCAAGAAACCAGTCCTCCCCTCTCCCACCAACTCCCACACTAGGACCACTTTTCAGAAAACTAGAGGCTCTAGGAGCACTGGGTCAGGACTAGTATCCAACACACACTGAGTTAGAACTAACCTCTTCACTTACCACATTGCTTTCAAGAGACATTCAAAACACTGGATTAAGATATTGGAGTCCACCCATTGTACTTTCCGTAACTAAAGGAGGATGCCCAAGTGAGAGCCTGTGTATGCAGATAATTTTCTGCTCCTTTTTATATTTCAGATCAATACATCAGGCAATTTCATCACTAAAGCTAATTACTTTTTAAGGTAGCATGGCTGACAAAAAGGAGTCAGGTGCTGCTGTAATCCCATAATTTGTAGCAATACAATAATTTAGAGCAAAGATTGGTGAGGCGAGCTTCCCTTATTTCTTCCTTCCCTTCTTTGCATACTCTATCATTTATTTTGCAAAACTAGGCAAACAGCCAAATCAGTAGAAACAGCTGCCAGCATCTGAATTGGTTCCAGGGGCAAGAGCTGACACAAGTTTGAGACTCTCCTGTACAAGTGATGGTAATTCTGCAGTTCTAGACCACACAGGGGTACTTTCTGGAAGAGGAAGGGCACTGTGAGTTTTTTGGGGAGAGGCAGTTTTTCTGAACGTTTTAAGTTCATAAGTTTCATAAAGTTTGCAGTACTCTGAAATCTTTAGAACAGTGCTCTCCAAAAGAAATATGTGAACATGTAGCTCAAAATTTTCTAGTAGTTATATTAAAGAGTAAAAATAGGTGAATGTTAATATCTTTTATTTAACCCAATATATCCAAAATATCATTTCAATATGCCGTCATAATAAAAATAGAAAATTTTATATTAAAAAGTGAGACATTAAAATCTGGTGTGCATTTTACACTTATAGCACACCTTATTTTATTTTTATTTATTTTTTTAAGTTTATTTATTTTGAGAGGGAGAGTGTGAGCAGGGGAGGGAGAGGGGGAGGGGGAGAGGGGGAGGGGAGAGGGAGAGGGAGGGAGAGGGAGAGAGGGAGAGAGAGAGAGAGAGGGAGAGAGAGAGAGAGAGGGAGAGAGGGAGAGAGAGAGACAGAGGGAGAGAGGGAGAGGGAGAGAGGGAGGGAGGGAGCGAGGGAGAGAGGGAGAGAGGGAGAGAGAGAGAGAGAGAGAGAGAGAGAGAATCCCAAGCAAGCTCCATGCTGTCAGTGCAGAGCCCTATGTGGGGCACGAACCCACAAACTGTGAGATCATGACCTGAGCCAAAATCAAGAGTCGGATGCTTAACAAACTGAGCCACCCTGGTGCCCCTATTTTCTTTTCTTTTTAAGATGCCTACTAACATCTATTTTTAAAGTTTTTATTTAAATTCCAGTTAGTTAATATACAGTGTAGTATTAGTTTTGGGTGTACAATCTCGTGATTCCACACTCCATACATCACCTAGTACTCATCATAAGTGCATTCCTTACTCTCCTTCATCTGTGTCACCCATCTGCCCACCCACATCCCCTCTGGTGACCATCACTGTGTTCTCTAAGTCTAGAGTTAAGAGTCTGTTTCTTGTTTTGCCTCTCTTTTTTCCCCCTTTGCTCATTTGTTTTGTTTTTTAAATTTCACATGTAAGTGAAATCATGATTTTGTCTTTCTCTGACTTTGGTTTAACATAATACTGTCTAGCTCCATCCATGTTGCTGCAAATGGCAAAATTTCATTCTTTTTTATGGTTAATGTTCCATTATATATATATGCCATATCTTCTTTATCCATTCATCAGTCGATGGACACCTGGGCTGTTTCCATAATTTAGCTACTGTAGATAATGCTGCTGTAAACATCGGGATGCAGGTATCCCTCTGAATTACTATTTTTGTATTCTTTGGGTAAATACCTACTAGTGCAATTGCTGGATCTAAGGGAAATTCTATTTTTAACTTTGTAAGGAACCTCCATACCGTTTTCCAGAGTGGCTGCACCAGTTTGCCTCCCCAGCAGCAGTGAGAGAAGCTTCCCCCTCCCCACATCCTCGCCAACACCTGTTGTTTCTTGTGTGTTGTTGATTTTAGCCATTCTGACAGGTGTGAGGTGATACCTCATTGTAGTTTTGATGTGCATTTCCCTGATGATGAATAAAGCGCATCTTGCTGTAGAACGCCTCATTTTGAGTGCACGATAACCACTTGCAGGTTGTGGCTACAGTATTGGACAGCACAGCTGTCCAGCCTCTCAGCTTCCTTCTGGAAGCCTCTTAGTTCTTCCACATGGTGTCAAACAAGGCAGCCTCCTCTCTCTGCCCTCCCTGCCCCCTACACCTGCACCAGCACTTCTGGGGCATCTGTGAAAGTAGTCCCAGAACACCCATTAATAGAGCTGATTTCTCACCTGCCTCTATCCTTAGGCAAGGAGCCAAACATTGTTGCCTTCAAAAGTGTGGCACTTACACATTCTGCATATTCTCCGAAGGCCCTGAAATATAATGAGGGGTGGGGGTGAGCACTGGATCAGAAAGATCTCATGATTCCAACAACTGTGAGTTCAGGCAATAGAATCATAATAGAATCATCCCCCCCCCCCCCCCCCGGTCTCTTGATGCTCTTAGTAGCTACTGAGAGGTCTAGAGAAGACTCCCTTGTAACTATTTTTATATAATTGAATTTTATCAAAGAAGGCCTTCAGGAAAAGATGAGAGTTGGGACCAGTAACAGATTCATAATTTGCTGGGTCCAGTGGAAAAGGGAAAATATGGAGCCCTTTGTTCAGAAATTAAGAATTTTTCATTGTTGATGGCAGAGCATTAAAACAAGCAGGAGGCCCTCTTTCTGAGCGTGGAGCCCTGCGCCACTGCACAGGTTGGACCTCCGTGAAGCTGGGGCTAGGTGGGGCGTAGGTCTCTGGAAGAAGCAAGGAAGTGGTGAGATTACCTGGACGATCCTTGAGGAATGGAACCTTAAAGGACGCTCCAAAATCAAGTCTACTAGAATTCACTGAGGAAGAGGTTTTGAAGCCAGTGAGAACCATTTGGGAGGAAAGCAGTGAGGGGAAGAAGCAGGTGGGTAAGGCACTTGCCTTTGCTGATGAGACCACGGATTATCCCGGGTATTCATAGGGTCAAGCTTCTGTGGCCCCAAGTTGGGTAACGACAGACTGACACCCGCAACGGTGACTTGCAGGCCTGGGCAGGAGTGACTCCGAGGCTACTTCATAGTCAACTTTCCTCCTCCAAGCCACACACAGGCGCTGCCGGCGAGGGACCTCCGGGAGCTCCGGCGGGGGGAGCGGGTGCGAGCTGCGGCCGCTGAGCCTGCATGAGGCGACCGGGTCACGGCTCGGGGAGCGGACTTGGCTCACCCTCGCCCAGCAGCGGCCCCTCCCGCGCCCGCACTCCCGCCGCTCCCCAACTGGGGGACGCACGCCTCCAGCTGCAGGAGACTGGGGCGGGCAACGGCCGGCCGGACACCCGCACCCGAGACCCACCAGGGCGGATCGCGAACCCGAACCCTGTCTACTGTCGCAAGGGGCGGCCACTGCCCCCCGTCTGGCCGCGGCCGCCGAGTCGCCGGGGCCCCTCTACCCGCAACTGGCGGCCGGCGGTGGCAAAGGTTCAGGGCGTCTAACAGCCGCCGCTCAACCGAAACCGGGGCTGGCGTCGCGCATTGGCCCGAGGGTGGTTTCCCGGGAGACAGGCCCCGCCCCCGGCCGCGCGCCCGGCCAAGCCGTTGTGGGTGCTGCAGGCCGGCTGGCAGATTCCAGGGTGGCTTGTGCCTGGGCCCACTTTGGCGTCCCCGTCCATCCTTCGTTCTCCGTCTTGCTGCAGTGCGTGATCTGGCGCTGGGCACACGGCGTGGTGTCATCCTCATTTTGGATAAACAAGAAAAAGATTTGCTAGCTCTGGCGGCTTGCGGGCCAACACCCATAGCTTGGGCTCCAGTGGGCCAACGAGCGAGGAACGGCCAAGACCTCCAGGGGGCGCCCTCTCCACGAACAACCGCCGGGCTCTCGGGGAGCTTGGCAGCTCTCTTGAGCTGTTTTTTCCGGGCTCCCAGTTTACTTAACCTCCCAGCCTAGTGAAGATCTCATATCTCATATCGCAGATTTCTTACGGAACTAAACGTTAAATAACTTACTTTATTTAAAAATAATATTAACAAACTATAAGATTCCTGTTAATGCAACATCTGTGCTAATTAGTTCTAAATTGAAAGGAAAGTCAAATCTCCCATGCAGTTTACCTCTTGTTCACCTTTGCAGTAACTGCGATTGAAACCTGTTTGAAAACAAGCATGTAGTTGGAGATACTATTATAAAAGTATCTTCTTTCCAAATAAGTGGCTATAAAAGTTTGAATTAGATCTAAAACGTTTCCTATTTACACCGATTAAATCATGCAACAGTGAAACGTGTATCTTACCTACCTACATTATCCTGTGACTATCTTACCTACCTGTTTTCCTGACGCTATTTTACACAATCACACAGATCTTTAAATCTAATCATCATAATCAATGTCAGTATATATTCAAATCTACCTTTAAGCCTATGTTATTTAACTTATGCAAAGATGGACATTTTGAAAGGTGTTGGTAAATGGGGCTAACAATATAAATTTGTTGATAAATAGCATCGTAATTTCCTTCATTTTAGGGAGATTGATTTTATTTTCTTGCAGTTTAAGAAGGGCTTAAACTTTCAAAGGTATTTGAAATATATGCCAATTTCACACACTTTTTACTTCCTTGATGGAAACAAAGCATTCCCTAGTCATTTCAAATAGTGAGCATATTCAAATAGTGAATATTTTAAAAACATTTTTCTTTATAGACTTATATGATTTCTGTGTGCAGGCTAAAACATCCAAACTTTACTTGTTGTTAATGTAAGATTTACAAATATCATTTAAGGAAATTCATATTACTGGATTCTATGAGGCTCATTAGTTGTGATTTTTCAAGTCTTGGTTACTTAGTGTTGTTGAAGAATAATGCAACCGATTGATGGTACACATTACTACCCCAAAGCAGCTCACACTCCAATAATAGTATCGGAATAGGGTTTTTTTAATTGTTTTCTTGAAATAATGTGTGCATCAAACATGAACAACCCCACTATATCCATTGTCAGTAGTTATCAAGGGGAAAAACAGTCTATCAGATTTTTAAAAAAGTAAGTTTTGGATTTTGAGATAATTGTACATTCACGAGCATTTATAAGAAATAATACAGAGAGATCTGTGCCCTTTACCCAGTTTTTCCCAAAGGTAACATTTTACAAAACTATACTACAATATTAAGACATGGATAGTGAGATTGATACAGTCAAGATTACAGAACATTCTATTGCCAGAAGAACCTCACGTTGCCCCTTTATATATACCCACTTTCTGCTTTTCCCCACCCCATCCTTAATCCATGGTAACTATTCATCTGTTCTCTATTTCTATCATCTTGAAATTCTCATTTCAGGTTTGTAACATAAGTGGAAGCACTCAGTAAGTAACCTTTAAAACTGGCATTTTTCTACCCTGCGTAATTCTCTGAAGATTCATTCCAGTTGTTTCCTACATCAGTAGCTTGTGTCTTTTTGTTGCTCAGTAGTATTTCATGATGGATATGCCACCTTTTAACTATTCACCCACTGAAGGAATCTGGGCAGATTCCAGTTTTTGGCTTTTATGAATGAAACTGCTGTAGACTTTTGTGAATAGGTTCATGTGTGATCACAGATCTTCATTTCACTGGGATAAATGCCCAGAGATGTAATTTGCTGGATTGCATGGCAGTTGCATGTTCAGTTTTTCAGGAACTGCTCAACTGGTTCCTAGTGGCCGTACCACTTTTTATGCCCATCAGCAAGTAAGGAGTGAACCCATCTCTCCAAATCCTCATCAGCATTTGGTGTTGTCACTATTTTTTATTTTAGTTATTCTGATAGGTATGTACTGATATCTCATTGTGGTTCTAATTTGCATTTCCCAGTTGACTGATGATGTTGAACATCTTTTCATGTGCTGATTTTCAATCTACATATCCGCTTCAGTGAAATGTCTCTTCATTGAGCTCCATTTTTTCCGGGCTCCCAATTTACTTACCTCCCAGCTGGTAACTATTGGATTGTGTGGGTTTTTTTTACTGTTTTGTACCGCCACACCCTGCTTTACTGTGTTATAATTGACAAATAAAATTGTAAGATAAAGTGTACAGTGTGATGATTTAATATATGTTTACACTGTGAAAGATTCCCCCCCCATCCAGTTAGCACATTCATCACATACTTACCTTTTGTGTGTGTGAGAACATCTAAGTTCTGCTCTCTTAGCAAATGTCAATGATACAGCATACAACACAGTGTTATCAACTAGAGATACATGTTATATATGACATTCTCAGACCTTATATGTACTTGTAGTTTGTATCCTTTTACCGAACTCTCCCTGTTTTACTGTATTGGTGTTTGTTTATACATTCTAAATACTAGCTCTTTGCCAGGTATGTGTTTTGTAAATATTTTCTCCCATTCTGTAGCTTGTCTTTTCCTCTTCTTTCAGTCTTCCAGAGAGCAAAGGTTTTTAACTTTGTTAATGTCCAATTTATCAATTTTTCCTTTTATGGTGATGTTTTGTGTTAAGTCTAAGAACTTTTTGCCCAGCCTAGATCTTGAAGATTTTCTCCTATTTTTTTCTAAAAGTCTTACGGTTTCATTTAAGTTTTTGACCCGTTTGAGTTTTATTTTTTGTTTAAGGTGTGAGACTTAGGCCAGGATTCATTTTTGTTTGTTTGTTTATGGATGTGCGATTACTCCAGCAGCAATTAAACTTTTTTAATTGCTTTTTTAAAAAACTTGTTTAAAACGAAAAACTGTAAGTTTGGAAAAACTACAAAATTAGTCGAAAATTTGGAAATTAATTTTTATTAAGAATACAGTATGTTAGCTATGGAAGAAGCAATACTCCTTTTGCATTAAGTATGACCATAGAAAAAGAGGTATTTTCTTCAATAAAAATCAAGATATCTTCTGAGCCACTTACAAAGTATCCTATGTAAATAATCCAAAAGGAGGAGAATGTTCTTTATAGCATTATTTATACTAATGAATCTATATATTCTTATTCTTATCCCCAAAGTGTAACATTTTAGATATCTTCTCTGAATGCTATTTTATGCAGTAACCAAAAAGGGATGTATATGGAATTATTATAGCAACATGAGTCAGATAATCTATCATCTTTTAACCCCTTAAATGCTTAAATAGGTGAACAGCAAAGCTTCATTATCGTGCATTGTCATTCAGGATGCATTCATGCATAGTAATGAAAATTAGTTTGACTACAGTTTATTTTCGGACATCTCTCACCCTGTCATTGGTTCTTTTCAAAAAATAGAATTACTCAAGACAATACAATAAAATACCTGTATTTCTTTCCATTGTTATTCTAATATACTGTTGTACAGTTTGTAAGATGAAGTTTCATCTGGTA